AACATACAAACGGGTGACGTCCCAGCTGGTGGTTGACGCTCAGACACAGTCTTAACGCATACCCTCACCTGACGGATACGGCGTCCAGATTTAAAACCCAACGATAAGACCACTCCGAATGTGGTCAAAAGGCAGGTCCCCACCCAGCCTGAAATTAGTCCGACACCCGAGGTTGTGGCATACAATGTTTCCTACTCATCTTGCAAAACTCACAGACAGGGCAACTCGGAGCTCAGTACAACTACTCTTTATCAGTAGGTGGTTATGGCGCTCAGCCCACGTCCTCAACCCATAAACATGGCAGCGCTCATCACCTCAACGGCTGGCTACCGGCTCTCGTTACACAGCGGCGGTGCATCATGCCCCTTCTTAGTGACCATAATGCCCAGTACCTTGCTTGCGGGCCGAAGGTAAGCAACGTCCCTTGGCTCGACAGACAGCGAGTATCTGCTCCCACACCTAAACAGTCGGCTTAACGTACCCGCTCGCTCCTCCCACACGTAAGCAGACAGCCTTCTGACCTGACGACTAGTGCCTATTTCACCGCCCATCGGCATGGCAAGTCAGTATACAGTCCGAGTTCACACTCCCCATCGGATGCTGGTGGCATCTGCACTCATGACTTGAAGGCGCAGCCACCTGATGCTCACTCTGAGTACGTTCCTCCTTGAAAGATCATAGGCTGCAACTCCCGAACTCAAAAATCCAAACTGTAGTCGGTGGGGATCCGACGCCCAGATTTAAAGCCCGGAGGTGCAATGGTCCGGCGCCTAACTCGATCTTCGATAAGGAGTAATGGCTCCCAGCGCCTCACTCCGAAGATCATCGATCCGCCGGCGCACCATAGTGCGTGGATCAATACCGTAATCAAACCACCCTCTCACTCCTACAGACAACAGAAGGGCCCAACTGGCAGTCAACACCCGAGCTCGGCCCTTACGAACATGGCACCCGTAGCACCTATACTCAACCATTCGATGACACGGTGTCATCCTACCCAGCACATGGAGCAACATACCCCATCTCCGTTCGCTTCCTTTTTCACATCCCACGTTCGTGACAAAAATCCCATCCGACTGGCGACAAGCACCCCCCCCCCCCTTTTCCTCCCCAGTGGCAAGGGGAATAGGACCACAGACCGAGCACAGGTTCGCCTCCGGTGGCTATGGTGCCTAATACCCATGTGAGAAGCCGGAAACCTGATCACTCTGCCTGCCACCGAGCACAGGTCCTCTCCGGAGGCTTATGGTACACAGCGCCTACCACCTCACCTCATCACCCACTCTTACACTCACACTGTAGAATCCGCTAGGCACCCTGCGTGCGCACACCTAACGCTCCCTCTTTCCAGCTACGGCAGCCACCTACTGCCACGCAGTGGCCACTCTCTTCTCCGTGCCCGCTTCATCATTGGGTTTTGCAGACCACTTTACACACGCTCCGCTGTAACAGCACTTCCGCATGGCTTTCGCACGAATGACTGGACGGTTGGGTGTTGCATCCAAATTTATACTGTTGTATAGTACTGCCCTGCCCCCTTCTCACCGGACCCGGAACACCTACTATTCCTCACACCATCCGCTGACCGGATTCAGGAAGCCTGGGGCTGGGCACTGCTGACTCGGCACCGGCGGATTCGCCCCTGTTGGCTATCCGCTTTGACCCACCACGGGTCATCCCCGAACGCCCATTGACCTTTTTGAACAGCGACGGCCATAGACCACAACCCCTCGGAGGGTTGCAGCACCGGCGTGACCTCGATCTGTCGGTCTGCAATAGTCACGTAGTATCTAAGACTTCGGCCCCTCAAGACCGACGCTACTAAAATTTCGTCCCTCCAGCCTGTAGCAGTTACGGCCTTCGACGCAGGTCACGGGTTTAACACCCGGGGGTACTTTAGATAGGTAAGGTAGGGTCTAGGGGTTGAGCCCTGAGTCTTAATAACAAAACAGAAGAAAAATAAACGTAGCAGCAAAATAGAACATGTATACATCAATCGACAGTCGATGCGGGCGAAGAATGAAGTAGGGACCTACCTGCAAAAGGGGGATAGTCCTGCGGGACCCTCAACCCCTCAGCCTCTTCGACGCTCCGTCACTCCCATATTGCCACCCGCTGGTATCGATCCCCATACCTCCGCCGTAATAGTCCAGTGACGTAACCTATAGGGCTAATCCCAAGCCTGGCACCAGCCTGCGTGGGATCTTATATAAAGCGGTGCTGCGCAGCCCCCAGGCCTAGAAGAATAGCCCGACCCTCATCCCTTCCTCTAACAAGGCACACCGTCACTAGGCTTTCCGCGCTGGCTTCCCCTCTTGCGCCGGGGCTACCGTGGCCCTCCACCCCGTACGTCGGCCTACCCATGGTCGACCGACCCGAATAAACACAAAACTCTTACTCCTAAAAAAAACTCAGGCCAGCCAACTTAGCCGGCTGCTTAATCAAGCGGGGAAATCACACGCGCGCCTTAAGACTGCACGCTCACTCACGCTCTACTCTAGTCAAACATCCTATCAGTGTCACCCAACAGACTTAGCCACGATTCGCGCAGTACAGTTAGACTTTTAACTTTCTTCTTATCACTTGCCAAGACTAGGGCGGATACCCTTGTCAGGGTATTCGTACCGACAACTTACCGGACCACATTAAGCGATGTCCCCGTCGCTTCGCATGATCGAAAAGCTATAAATCGATCCACAACTCCATATGCTGACGAGGAAGGAATCAATCCAATTAGCCGACAGACTAAGGGTTGAGGCCTCCAACAATCCAAGCCCTTGTAACTATATGTTGCCAGGGTTCCAACCTGGGTCTCCATCGCCCTGACACTAGGACGCCGGTGTACTAGACATACGTACTACAGCATAAGTCTCAGCGGCCCCTCTTACCCGTCCTCTCCCCTTTGTCCTAGACAACCACCGGCTTCTCGTTAAGTGTCTTTGATCTTTACCCTGCGAGCAGGACTTTGACCAAGGGTGCGAACCCTAACCGAGACCTTAGAAGGTACTTTCGCCTTCTTCCAACAATCCTCACAATCAAATATATATATATATATGTATATATATATATATATGTATATATATATATATATGTATATATATATATATGTATATATATATATATATATCTTACCTCAATATACCTCCTGCAGTCTAGTACAGGGAGGCCAGGTCTCCATCTTGGTCCACCGTACTCTGGGTGATTGCGCCAGATCTACGGCTCACCGCATTTGTTAGTTCCGCGGTAGTGCCCTCGCAGGTTACACCGCCATAGGCTTTTTCTCGTGATAAGCATTCAATCAGGACTCAAAAAGACTCGACTCTTATCCCATGTCGGTCCGCAGGAGTAAAACCCTCCTAGGTGACCACACCCCTTTAAGTTTTTACTCTCTTGGCACGACGTAGGCCCGCTGTTCAGGTTACGCCGATCAGCGGCCGACACTAGGGGTTGTGCCCTAGTGATGCTAAACTTTACCGTTAGCTTGGTATTCTCATAAATGCCCCAAGATTAGCACAAGTGGTTGGACGGTGTGTCGCAACAATACAGGCCTACTGCGGGACTACGCAGAGGCCTGTCACACATAAAAGGTATTTACCAGTCCTCTGTGGGACAACACAGAGAAACACGGCAACCTCTCCACATTTACAAAACAATAATCATCGCCAGATCCACAAGGCCGTGACTGCCCTACTTGATCAGAACAAGAAGCCACACATCCCAGTAACATCTCTTGAATGAACCCATTTGCAACCTCTCAAAAACTTTCAAAAATGGCCAAGCAACAATATGGTCCCTCTCGTCAGACTTTATTATTTAACCCAACTTATCATGCCGTTAAATCTATTAACCACCCTTCACAGGAAGGAGGTCTCACTAAATAGGTCTTCCAACCATCCCTCTCTCTCTAGGATGAACTTCTATACGACCTCTTATTAAAACATCTTCCCTCTGGAAAGATGAGTCTTCCAACAAGCAAAAGACTGCCTTCTCATAAAAGGCGCATCTACCATAAGACAACTCAAACTGAGAGACCAACTTATGGGTCCTCGTCACAACTCAACAATAAACATTTGGCATGGCAAGCATTTGAGTCTCAAGGACTCACAAATCCCTTAGGATTCTCACACTCTCACAAAGACAGACTGCGCTTCCTCTCTTTATACCCGACCCCATCACCCGCCCGTGGGCAGATCGCACGAGTATACCGAAAAGTAGGCAGTTCATCTTCATTCTCACTTACAGACCATATATCATACAAGATGCCTCTCATACATCTTTCTCACAAAACCATCATACATCAGGATAAAACCACACATGTGAGAGTGAGTGTTGTCGTCACGTACAACAGGTAACTAGCATTTCGTTAAAATTGACATTTTTTACTATTTTCACGAAATTGGGCATCCAAAAAAAAATTGACTTTCTTAGTGTGTTTTTGTGCCCTGCGACATCGGACCATTGATAGTCCGACGTCCTGGGGACTCCGGACCATCTGATGTATCTCATCATAAAGTACCGTCAAAATACATCCGAGGTTCAAAAAAAAAAGAAAACAAATTGAGGCATATCAGATGGTCCGGCGCCGGACTATCAATGGTCTAATGTGGTCGGCGCAAAAAAATGCCAAAAAATACTGTGTTTTTTTTAACTTCAATTTCGTGAAAAAAGTAAAAAATATCAATTTTAACGAAATGTCTGTTGGGTAATCTTAAGTAGCACTCAACTCAGAAATACACCCAGGGATGAGCTATCTCATCCTAAAATATACAAAATTAATCTTATCTCATGACCCACTCAAAACAACTTACGTCACTCTCAATATAGTACATGGTCAACTGTACAAAAAAAATAATCAAAACCACTCAAAATTCTACTGTCACTCAGTGTACACACTCTGTTTTACATAGTTCTAGCCTCCATGGCTGTCCTATGTCGTAGTCCCCATCTGTACCCCCAACAACATAGGCATCTAACTGTCTAAATAAAAACAAGGTCAATAGAGTGGTGTCTACCCTACTTAGACGAACCAGTCCCTACTCACTCATCTCCTCCTGGTTTTGCCTATACAACTGAGCTCTACCTCCATCGGAAGATCGCTCTACTATCCTACCCTGTCTATCATACATTCTTCCACCACTTTCAGAGACCTTTCCCTCAGCCAGATCCTTTAAGAACTTAGGGCACTGCAGAGCCCTATGCTCTCTCTTCTTACAGAAGAAACAGGTCGAATCGAATGACTTTTTAGGCCTTTCCTTCCTCCGCTGAGACCATGATGATGACGGTGCCTCACTGGCCTCCCTGCTCAACTCATAACTCTGGGGTAAGTCCATGGGTTCCTCAGATCCGGCTTCCAGCTCCTGAGTACGAGTTCCCAGTCGTAGCCCAATCTCCTCCGGCCTATACTCAGGCGTATCCAATCTCTGGGGCATGCCCTCGATGACGTCCTCCATTGCAACCCCCATCTCGCTCTCAGGAGGCTCCTCTATCCTCGGATGTGAACATAAGCTCGCGCCCTCCTGCATAGTGTGAACCGCCTCAAGCAGCACATCCATAGACCCCTCTTTTGAGCCCTTGATTGGCTCGCCGTTGGCTGCCGGCAGTCCCTTCTCAACTGAGGGTGGCATGGTAGGGCCCGCTGTCACCGTAGGCAGGATAGCGAGTTCAGTAGGGGTCCTGAACTCAAAGGCCTCTCTCTCCGCCTCTCTCTCCGCCTCCCTCTTGGCCTTTGCCTCCTCAGGTTCCAAAATGACTCTCCCCATGGGTGCTCCTTGCTGAGGTTCAGCTGCGGGCGGTTGCTCTGGTACGCCACCTCCTGGTTGCCTCTGCTCTCCCTGCCTGCTGCTTTCTGCCCCATCCATGCCGCCTCGAAGCGGCTGCCTCAAATCCCGAATGATGGCGGCCAGACTAGCCACCAATGCTTTGAGCTCACGGACCTCAACCTCGACGACCTCCAAATGCACTCCATGGCTTGTCTCCCTCATCTCTTTCCCCCTCAGATCAGCCTCCAACATCATATACCTGTCGAAGGACGTCTTGGATAGGGAGCGGATCCTTCGGTCCAAATACTCATCCTCTTTTTGCGAGGTCTCGACTTCCGACTTGTCTGGAGCTGTTAAGCCCTGCCATATTGAACAAGGAATTCCTCCCACATCTCCTCGATTCCATACGGCTTGTAGGGTGGCGGCGGATCCGGGAGTGCCCCTGCTTCTTCCAAACTCTGCCTCTCTTGCCGGATCTCCTCCCAGTGCTTCCCTACTCTGGCCCGCCTTTCCTCAACCGTTTCCCCTGTTGGTATTCTCTCTTCTATGCGGCGATCAGCTCTTTCCGGGACCTCTGCTTCCACCTCTCTCTCTGCCTGACACGACTCCTGGAGTGGCTCCATAGGTACGGGCTTCTGCAGGTCAGGGTGTTCCAGAGCGTGAGCGGCCAGCTGCTCGTCAATCAGGGCGAGTGCCTCTCTCCTCAGGTCAGCTCTCTCAATCTCTTCTTCCTCCATTCCTTCTGGTGACGGGACCACCTCTGGTAGTGGGGGTGGTACCTCCTCTCCCTACGGTTCCTCTCCTTGGTCGGGTGCGCTCTCTAATGGGCTCCCAAGCCTCAGTCCCACAGCTGGCGTATGAGGGGGAGTATCCTCCTCAACCTCTATGACCTCCTCCTCAGCACGCCCTCCCTGAGTATTTGGTCTCTCATGCTCAGGGCTCTAACTTTCCTTTCGCGGCACCTCTTCGGCTGCCTCGCACGCCTCTCATCTACCGGCGGCGTCCTCCACTGGGAGACGTCCAAGTGTGCCTCCAACTCCTGCACTGACCCTCCAGAGGCCGGCGCCTCCTCCTGTGTGCGCAGTGGAGATCCTCCCAATCCACCCTCAGTACAGCGATGAAACTCCATTGGTCCCAATCCGCACTCAGGGTATGCTCCTCGCCTCTAAGTCTCAGGTACCATCTTCTCTTCTCGCGTGGCAAACGTTTTTCGTCCCCTTTACGACGACCTGGCCTCAGTGGGTTCAGGGTCCCTCTGCCTCCCGCTCCTCAGGCATCTCTCCACTCTGGGCTGAGGCGGCTCCGGGCATCGGAATGCCTCTCTCAACTTGAAGTGCACTCTACAGCCCTCCCAATCTCGGGCCATGTCCCTGATTTGCCTGGCCAAGGGTCTTTCCGCCTTCCGGGTCCATAGGGATAACGTCCTTGCCCACTCATCCCTCAATATGCCCTGATTATGCATGAACTGCTCGAACGCGGGGATGAACTCCTCTGCATTCTCAATCTCCAAGCGAATAGGTCTGCCATCAGTTCCAACATGTGATGGTCATAGCTCCTGCATCCTCGCCTCTACCTCTGACCTCGTCCTCGCCTCCCTACGGATCTGTGCGATGGGCTCTGCGAATCTGCCAACTCCTCTCAACCTCCCGATCGCCTGGGTCATGGTCCAGCCCATATGATCAGCGTACCCCCAGAACTCGTCCAGAAACAACTCAATATCCCCGTCATCGTACACTGGCGTGCTCTCTCGGTGGTAAGACCCATGCCGCTTATATCCTCCTGATGCTCCCAACGGCCTCCGCGGCGGCCGTGTCCCCCTCCCTCCTCTTGGCATGGCTGTCTTCGCAAAGTCAGACCTGCACAACAGGTGAAGGAGACAACAGGCGCACGTCGAGGTAAGCAAACAGTCAGTAAATAAGCAGGCCTAGGTCAGACCAAGCACATACATCATGCAATCCTCCTAACCTACACACCTCTCTATCCTACTCTAAGGAAATTAGATAGTCTATCTCACCTCTTCTCTCGCCACAAACTTCTTCAGCCTTGTTCCTGACACCCAGTCCTTCCATTCTGTCCCATTCAACTCCTCAATCTGATACGCGCCGAAATCCCCGCATCGCACGATTCGATAAGGACCCAACCACCTCTTGTCAAGCTTCTTGGACCACTTCTTTTCCAAGATCGAATCATATAGGAGTACGACGTCCCCAACTGCCAAGGGTACTTTCCTTACTCGCGCCGACTGGTCCCAGCGAGCCTTATCGTCCATCCGACTCCTTTCTACTTGGTTGGTCGCTTTCTGGATTTTTTTCTCAATCGCACCCACTTGTCGTGCTCGAATGTCGAGCATCTCTTCGAAAGACAGGCTGACCTCCCAATCCTGGCGCCTTCAAGTCTTTAGGAAACTCGCGATTGGGAAGGTAGCGTGTCTCCCATACCATAGCGTGGCCGGTGCGTATTTAGTGGTCCTTTTTACCGTAATGTTCTCAACGAAGAATGTCGCCCTTAGATACCTTGGCCATCGAGCGGGCCTACCTTCTGTCCATTTGGCCAACAGGTTAGTAATGGTGTTGTGCCCTCTTTCCAGTAGAGCATTTGCCTGAGGGTGCACGGCCGTGGTGTAATTAGCCACTACACCATACCTTGACAACAACTCTTGCACCTCCTGGCAGGTAAACTCTGATCCTTTATCCATTACGAACTCTCTGACAAACGGGTAACGCAGGTAGTACTCCTCGATGCAACTAACCAGGACTGGCCCAGTTTTCGTACGAATGGCTCGCCCATCTACAAAACCAGATAGATTATCACGTGCATCGAAGATATAATTGTAGCTATGATCGTCGAGTGGCATGAATAACAGGTCGAGATGTACTACGGCTCCTACTTCCCTCTCTAACCTTGGATGCAGTGGTTCTCCCGGCCTTAGGCGAGATTGTTCTTGACAAGATACGCAGGACCGGCAGAATTTACCAACCATCTCCATCATTCCGTCCCAATAGTATAACTCACTTATCTTGGCATATGTTGCAGTAATCCCCCGATGTCCTCCCGCAATGTCGTCATGAAGTGCAGCTATAACGTCAATCTGTCGGTTCCTGCCGCATACGACTCTCCTAGGATTTCCCACCTGCCTTTTTACAAAGAGGTGACCATCTCTTACCAAGTAATGCTCCCTCATCCTCTGGGTCCTTTCGCATCCCGGTCCCCCATCTCGCATGACAGGAGAAGTCCCAGCTCAAGGTAGATTCTCTCATACTCTTCTGCCCGAAACGCTTCCTTGATCTCCCCCTCTTCAAACTCGTCATCCTGGCTTTCTGATATAGTATCCCCTTCCTCAACCAGATTCAGCGAGCCTTCCAAGTTAAAGGATTTATGTAGAAGTGTGTTGACGAGGAGGTACATTCCCCCCATCAATTCCTCGTGCCTCCTTACCCGGTTTGGACCTTCTTCTATCGTCCTAATCTCTTCCACCAAACTGTGATTGCCTGCAAGTGCCAGCTTCATCATCCATCCGATATCTTTGCTGCCCCAAGGGTCCTCGTCTTCGAAGGGCTTGAGTACTAGCTCAGCCTTCCTTTCATATCTCTTTGGCGCGTGCTAAATAGGATGACCAACACAGCTAGGCACCCGCGGAGACCACTTATTGATGTGAAGGCGGATGTCTTCCTCCTGGTCCAAAAAAACCATCAACTGGGGGCGTATCTTCTATTGCCTCCTCTTCCTGCTTATCCCAATTGATGCGGCTTAGCCCATCTGCTCTATTCTTATTCCCTGGAATTCGCTCCAACTCAAAGTTGAACATCCAGATATATGTCAACCACCTGGCAACCGTTGGATCGGACGGAACATAGTTCCTTAGGGAGAAGGCTAGGGTTGTTGGGTCCACCCTCAGTATGAACCTCCTTCCAAAGATATAGTTTCCGAAGATCCGCAGGCAGTGAAGGACAACGAGAGTCTCCCTCTTGAATTGAGAGTAGTTCCTCTCTGTCGTACACAGAGCCCGACTCTCAAAACGTAATGGTCTCTACTTTCCCTCAATGTCTGTCTGGATTAGGACTCCACCGAAGGCAGTTGGTCCAGCATTCGTTTCCACAATAAATGGCCTTACCTCTGTAGCGTCATAGTCCGACGCACCCAACACCAAACCTCCCTCTCGAAACTCTTCCTTCATCCCTACTACCGCCTTCTCCTGATCCTCACCCCAAATCCACTCCTGATCCTTACGAACTAACTTCCTCAATTGCTCTGTCTTGGCGGCAAAGTTTTTGACGAAGGTCCTCCAGAAGCCACACGTGCCAAGGAAGCTCCTAACATCTGTTATTGAGTGGAATGGCACTGGCCACTCAACTATCTTGTTCGTCTTCTTAACGTCTGGTTGCCGACCACTCTCATTACAGACGAATCCCAATGGTAGCTTCCCTCATACAATGCTTGGACTTGGCCCCACTAGTCGTAAGGTTATACTCTTCAAGCAAGCCTAGGACTTTGTCAAGGTCCTGAACGTGCTTCCAGACAAAGCGCCTTACTCCTGGCAGGACTTCATCGTCCTCTCTCCTCCTTGGCCCTTTTACTGCCAAGTCGTCAATATATGGTTGCGTGATATGCAGACTAACTGTTTGCATGGCCCGAATCATATGTCACTGGACCATTGCCACGGCGTTCGTCCACCCTTGCGGAGCCACATTTATGTGGATAAGCCCTCGAGGCGTATGCATCGCTATAACTAGTATGTCTGGCGGATAGGCCGGAAACTAGTCATACCCGGAATAGAGGTCAATAAGCGAGATTATCGATCTTCCAGCACATGACTCTGACAACGCATTTACGTTTGGCAAGCCTCCTGCATCCCGCACAGTCACAGCATTCAGCCTTTGCAAGTCTTGTACCCATCTCAACGTCCCATTAGGCTTGATGAAGCAAAACCATGGGGATGCGTAGGGTCCGCTTGAATAATCGGCGACGTGGGTGCATATCTTGCCATCGAGGTAATCCACCACCTTCTTCTCTTCGTCAGGATTGGGATATCGCGCCCCTCTTAAGTTTCATGGCTCATGTGGCACAATATGGATGTGGATCATTGGGATCTTGTCTACATCGAACCTGCCACGCTCCTCATCGCTAAAAGTATAGGCGCGGTGCCTCTTCTTCATTAGCTCTACCATCAGCGTCCTCTCTCGAGGCAGTAGGAAGTCGGACTCTCCCACTATCAATTTCCCCTCGTTCTCCTCGCTGATACGACATGGCCCCACCGAGGCGCTCTCTTTCATCTGTCGTATCAAAGCTCGCTCCCGTTCATAGTATACCTCCTCATCCTGGGTAACAAGAACGGAAACTGGGCGACACTTTTTATCTATCGTCTTGTACCGCCTTTGGGAACCCTGCTTGAGCCGTCCCCTAAAAAAGGCTGACTTGCTGGTCGCGCCTGCGCCTGTGCCATAGCAGGGTCCCTTCCCCTCTTTGGAAGTCGATAAACCAACTCCGTCTCTCCTATCTGGGGGTACTCCAAGACTTGTTCTCTCAGCGCCTGAATGGCGTCTGGATCCGCCATTTCATGCGTGGCCACTATGTCCATGGCCTTATTTACATCAGATAAGCTGAGCGAGAATGCTTCCCCTCCTATTTCTTCCTCGGGCTCCGCCATAAGCCTTCGATGCTCATCTTCTGACTCCTCAATGGTGAAAGAGCCAGGATTGGGCCTGTTCCGTATGCTTCTCGGTCCAGTGTTTCGGTAGGTGATTACCTCATAATTTCTGCACGCTGGATCACATCAGATCAGGATTAGCGACCCGTCATGCTTGTTGTACATTAGGGTCTCTGTCCTGCACAAAAAGGATCTCCCTAGGAGAATGCTATGATCCGCGTCTGGCATTACAAAGAAGCAAGCCCTGGCATTACAAAGTAGTACGTTCGAGGCGGTCCCGCAAAACACAGCCTTGTTGTTAGCCCCATGCAGAATGCCGCAATCCGAGCGGTCTATCTTCAGCCCCAACCTGATAGCGTCAGCTACTCGGATAATATTCATCTCGGCCCCCGTATCCACCATTGCTGCGCACTTGGACCCTCTTACTACTAGGTCCACCATGCCGCACGCCACACACTTCCAGTCCATTTTCGTCCCGGGTTCTGACCATTCCATCTCCTTTGGCAGAATCACACTGAGGTGGACATTCGACACCAACCGCCTCGACATACTACCTTTCAGCTCATTGCGGAGCCTCGGGGCGGATGCCAAAATTTCCTTGAGGGTCATAAGGTCATTATGGCCTTCAAGTAGCCCGTCGATCACTCTCTCCACATCGAACCCTTCCTCTAACCGGACTGCATACTTCTTTTTCTTGGGCGGTACATCGCGCAAGACCGCTTTAGCTTCCTCTCGGCTTTCCCTCTTTCTGGCCCTTTGTTCCGCCCTTTGATCTTCTTCTTGACGCAGCCTGTCATCCTCCTCTTCATCTTCGTCATCATCCTCCACCTCCACCGTTTCCTTCCTCTTTCCTGGGTCAGGTTTCTTTCGAGGAGACTCTTGACTCGCACTGGCCTTAGCCTGACCTCGAGTACGGGCTGCCTGCCCCAGCCTTCCTTGCGGTGTAGGAGGCCTAGTCATCATTCCTGACCGAGGGCCTGACCCCACGATGGCCACCCCAGGTCGTCCTGGCATGGACTCTGGGCCAGAATCATAGAGGAAGACCTTGGGGAGATTCACCCTCCACTCTTTCACTTCTTCGCAGAACCCTACCAACTTCCGTTGGTATCTCCCCACTTTGTCCAGCAGATCTTCCATCTTCCCCAGCAGGACCGCCGCGGGCTCTACCTTTTTCTCCTCACTCTCATCTTCCGACTCGATGACTATGGACTCTTCTCTTATAACCCCTGCCCGCAGCCTCTGGGTCACTTCCTCATCACTCCCCACCTCTTCCACTCCAATTGGTGGATCCTCTCTCTCCTGCCATAACCTGAACCTGGCAGGAGGTGCTTGCCGTGCCGCCACTCTCCGCTGGGCCTCCGCCCTTACTCCGCCAGGAACCTTCCTGTCGATGTACTCTCCGAACTGATCGTATATGTCCCCATCAATGTTAGAGTAGATCAGTTCCACTCTCTCGTTTTCCCGCCTTGTGTTGCAGAACCGTATAGTATGTCCTTGCTTGTCGCAATGCTGACATATGGCGGTCCTCCAATCAAAGCGGGTTCTTCCGCCTCCTTGGCTCCCTTGATTACCTTGGCTACCTTGACTCCCCTGGCCCTGGTAACCTTGGTTATCCCATTGGCCACCTCGGCCACCACCATTCCTGCCGCGTCCTCTTCCACCACCCCTCCCTCCATTTCCTTGATTCCCTTGGCCTTGATTCCCTCCACCCGCCACACTACCTTGTGAAACTTTGTGCAGATGGCGGTGGTGGTGTCGTGGGTTGAGCCTGGGCAGCAGGGTAGCTTGGAGGCGGCATACTCGTTTGGGGCCCACCGTATGGCACTACCTGTCCAGTCTGGGCTGGGCTTCCCCAAGGCACATTGTATTGAATATGGGTCATGGCCACTGCCCAAATGGCGGCGCCGATACTTGCGAAGGGCCCGCACTACTTGAGGGGGTCGCCACACTCAAGGGCGCGGCTACCACTGCTTGGGGCACTTGCCCTTTTCCGGACCCCTGTCCCCCCTGCGCTAAGTTGCGCTGTTTACGTTGCGCCTTTGAGAGGTGTTGGGGTACCGACTCCTCTTCCTCCCATCCTTCTTGTAGCTTCCTCTACCACGGCCTCCTTTGTCTTTCCTTGGACCGTTGTCACCACCTTCCTTTGTATCACCGCGTCCAATTTTGCTAGCACGTCGGTGACAATCTTTTTCACTCCTGGGGTCCCACATGTCGTGGCATCCCCTTCCTTCCTCTTCTTCCTTTGCAACCGCACCTGGTGTTGCTCCACCTGGTCTAGGCTTCCATCCTCCACCCCTTTGTCGATGGTAGCCCAAGTGAGCTTCGCGCTCCCTCCCCCATGGCTTGTCAACTCTGAAGCCTCCGATGCATTGAGCAGCCCCAAAAAGATGGCGCATTGTGCCTCCTCTAACATCCCATGCACTTTCCTCGCCCTTTTCTTAAATTCCTGCACGAATGCCCCAATAGTGGTAAAATCATCCTTGTTCATGGCCTCCAAGTCTGTCGTGGTTAGCAGGCCGTCACCCAGCCTGTACTTCCTTTGCATCCCTTCTCTAAACCTGGCCCAATCACCATTGGCATCATCAACCACTTTCTGCACCTCTTGATGGTGCCCATGAAGTACGTATTTCATAATCCGTTGGAATTTTACCGTATCTGTTAACCCTACTACTAGCGCTTGGTCAACCAAGTCCAGCCAGTCGGACACCCGTTCTCCTTTGAAGTGGAATGTCTCGACTTTTGGGACGTTGCTTGGCATCCTCTCTCGTCTGTCCAGTGCCTCGATGAAATCATCAAGGGTCAGAGCTCTTCCCGAACCGTCGCCTATTCCTCCTGACATTCTGGCCGTCTGTCTTTCGCTTAACTTCCTTGTTACAAGAAAGGGTAAGACCCAAACTTCACTCAGCATCTTAATTTGTCACAATCCTATCGACCTAACTACTTAGTCCCTAGGCACCTCAGACTTAGCTGACACTTCCATTCTTTTCATTCCCAGACTTACTTCCATAAAGTCTATTCCCATCATGAGTCTTCTCACCTAATTATCTTAGTCATCCACATAATCATACAAACCTCATACGTTCCTACTTATAGGCTTACTCAGATTATCTCATTCGTGTCAGATTATCTCATTCGTGCCAGACTTCTCTTTACTCTAATACCCGGATGTCGTTCCAGCAGGGACAACGGCAGGCCATCCGTTATCCCCGACAACGGCGCCACCTGTCGAGCGCATCGGTCCGGCACCACTCAAGGGCAGCGCGGGACCCTCCCGGTCGCGTCACGCAAGAGTTGGGTCTTAATCCTCGTCGCAATACATACATGGAGTTTCCGCAAAGCCGCTCCGGCCGAGTGCGCCAGCCATACCTCTCGCGAGCCCCTACGACAGGATAGGGGCTGAGGTACGACTTACCTCCACCTTACGAGAGTTGTCACCTCCCTTCGGTGGGCGTATCCCCGCCGAGCTACCAGTCCGCTGTACGAAAGCTGATCAGTTGCAATCGCAGAGGTGGACCAGCCGAGGGCATTTCTCGTCAAATGGTATGAGTAGTAGTTGTAGACATTTATTGTGTGCTTTGCACTTATGCAATGCTGTTGTTAAAAAAATTTATGATACATTTTGTTTGTGATTGTGGTTGCTTTTTTTTTATAGCACGTACTTAATTGAAGACTGACATTCCAGAGGATTGTTTCAGAAGAGTTTCGAAAGGTATGTTAAAATGTTATTTGAAACTTATTTCTATAATTATTAGAAAACTGTTATTTGTTGCTATGTTTGCCCCTATGAAAGGTGACGATAATGTCTACATCTACACTACTATAAAAACATTAAGGTGATAATGATCAACGAGGATCACGAGTTGATGACAATCGTCGACAGCCCGAATTTAAGGTGAATGAAAATGTTTTCTCATTGGACTGAAGTCTTGGTTATCAACGAGTTTTGTGAGAAGATTGAGTTCAAGATGACAAGGGCAAAAAGGGTCTCTGTATCTGCATGCAATTGCGAGGGAGGGTAGGATGTGGGGGAGTAAGGACGGGGGAAAAAGGAACATGCATGCGACAATTGTTGGGGATTTGAGATCAGGGTGGAGAAGGGCAAATACAACCATCGTTGGAGATGGCATTCAGAGAAAGGAGGACGGGAACACCAATTGAGGGAAGGGAGCGGGTAAAGAAACACAAGCTGCACCATGTGGGGAGGGGTTTAAAATGAAAGGCACATGGCACAAGTACATGGTTCCATCGTCTTTTTCATTTATGATTTTTTTTTTTTGGCTTGTTTTTTTATTCGTGTGTGAGAGAGAGAGAGTGCGGGGGTTGGAAAGGGGGAAGGAAGAGGGTAAGGAGAACAACAGAGTAGGTCTCCACGGCAGGGGCGGGGTCCTCGACAGTGTGGAGTGCGGACGGTAAGGGTTGAATTATGTTTTTTTTTCGCCCAATGGCGGATGAGTTGTGGATCTGGTGGTTGCAGAATGGAATCCGCCGGGTCGGTGTGTGTGTGTGTGTGTGTGTATGTGTGTGTGTGTGTGTGTGTGTATGTGTGTGTGTATGTGTGTGTATGTATGTGTGTGTGTGTGTGTGTTTGTACGTGC